TTACATATTGCCTCACATTCACCCACTCACTCATTCATACACCGACGGCGGTGTCAGCCATGCAAGGCACCATCCAGCTCGTCGGGAGCAGCTGGGGTTAGGTGTCTTGCTCATGGACACCTCGACACTGGGTCAGGTGGAACCGGGGATTGAACCACCAACCTTCTGGTTTGTAGACAACCTACATGAACCACTGAGCCACTGCCGCCCCCAGGTACATGGTACATACATGTTCAATGGAGGAACAGAAAGCTCTAGGACTAAATCTAAAATATCTTAAACTGTGTTCCGAAGATGAACGGATGTATTACGGGCTTGGAACGACATGAGGGTGAGTCATTAATGACATCATTTTCATTTTTGGGTGAACTAAGTTCTAACCCTTTAATGAAAATATATATTTTTTTTTTTTTACATTTACATATATTTCTTCTCTGAATACAGGGATACAATTAATATAGAGGCAAATGAAAATTAAAATGAGTTGTTTTAAAAAGCAAATCTTGTTTCCTTGTGTATCATCCATCCAACATCTATTTTTAATCTTTGCTCAACATATGTGAAACAGAAACTATAGCTGTACACTGACATACAATGTTGACATGAACATTTGTGAAAAGCCAAGGAACATCAGTGTATCAACTCAACTGAGGCTCACTGTTATGCAAACTAATCCCACCATTATTGCATGTCTCCAGTGGCGTGCGCTTTGTAACATGCCAATCATAACATTCAGATGACAGATGGCAGGTGGATGCTGTATTTTTGAAAGCACATAGGGACAGTGTCTCCAGCCTGACATACAATGTCCTATCAAATTCATGTGTATGTGTAAGGGTGTGTATATCTAATAATATGATTCACTGCTCCGGTGCACATCCATCTTAAAGACAGAACACTGTGTTCAAGGCGACAAAACATCTGTAAACCTACAATATCTGATAAACTTTGACAAATGACTCAGATAATAAGGGTCCACAATGGTGTGCTCTAAACAAGTCCCCTCAGGGACAGAACTGATGAAATACCTGTGGAATCAATAGGGCAGTTAGGAGGTTAGATCAGGAGGCTAAATAACTCTTTCACACACAAGTATACCAGGGCTCTAGAGTGCGACCAATTTGGTCGCATATGCGACCAAAATTTGTAAGGGTGCGACTACATTTTTTCCAAGGTCGCACCGGTGCACCTAACGTCCTCGCGTCCGCTGCCAAGTTTCCACGAGCGAAGCGCTTGTTCTCCTTTGTCGGAACTCACAGCACACTCATGGTTGGATCATATCGTGGTCTAAACCAATCAGAGACAGAGATAGGGCGGGTCTTTGCCTCTGATTGGCTGTGGTAGGCCTACACTGCTCCGTGCTGTGTGACTGAAATTGCGACCTGAGCACCAGAGAATCAGTTACGGCAATCAGCATCAGCAAAAGAAACGCAAGAAAACAGACGACGAACAATGAAAAGAAATAGACCCATAGAGTTTTCTCTTTTAGAAAAGTAGGCCTGTTTCCCCCAACACTCTGCCCGGTACGGATGGGTACCGAAACCCGGTATTCAACTTCTGAAAGACCGCTGTATCGATCAGCTCGGACGTGATCGGTTCTGATGTGGGTAACTTACTGGAGAAATTAAGAAAATACACATACTATTTATTATTACTATAAAGACGTTATTTAAAAAAAGAATTTATCTTGCGAGCCTTTTCTGTGTATAATAATATTACACCATTTTTGCTATTCGCAGTCAGAGAGAGAGAGAGAGAGAGAGAGAGAGAGAGAGAGAGAGAGAGAGAGAGAGAGAGAGAGAGAGAGAGAGAGAGAGAGAGAGAGATCTCTCACGCGGAGCCACAGCGCGCAAAACACGACAGCTCTGCTTAATGAGTGACGACGCAGAACTAAACATTCAAACGTAGCCTGGTTACACTTTAGGTCTGTGATATTAGTCTGATTTTGTTTTAGATTTCGGCTTCCAAAGATTATAAAAAAATATATTGAGGTAAAACCATTAAAAACTACAGACACATTCGGTCTGGCGCAGCTTCCTTCCATTCGCAGCAGTGCGCTGTCACTTCTCCCTAAAACTCAAACTTAACGACAGAATCAGCTCGTGATTGTTGTAAAATGCAGTCCAGCTACTGTTACTAAATTGTAAAAAGAGCTATTAAAAGCACAAAAGTCTGCACAAGAGATGCTGTTCCCAAGGCGACGCGCGCTCTAAAAACAGAACGTAACGAGACAAGCAAATTATACTTTGGGTTTCATGTGCGTGTCTAAACTATCAAATGTACACAAAAATATGTCAAAATGACCGGCTTGTATTCACAGCTCTTGAATTAATAACTTCAGCTTTAATAAGCATTATCTATCTATGATAAAATATGCAGTGTTATTTTACATTAGATTACTTTATTAGTTTTCTTTTTAGACCATACTTGAACAGTAGCTAATGTTAGTAGACCTTCCTGAAATTAAAGCACTGTGTAGGCCTATATAATGTGCATCTTTGTTTAATTGTTTATCTTTGTTTATAAAACAAAAAGAACCGATAAGAATACTGTTGAAGTACCGGATCGCTAAGGAGTATCGGTAGTAATACCGTTAAAACCTTATGGATACCCATCCCTACTCCCCGGTCAATGCTCCGACAACAGCCCAGACATGGAGCTACTTCAGCCACCCGTCTCCCCAGTCCCTGTAAGATGCCAAGCCCTGGTCCTTCCTCGGTGAGCCTACCGAGCCTGAGCTAGAGACTCAAAATAGTTAGTTTGGCAGCTCAGTGAAGCACAAAAAAAATGTTTGTATACAATATAATTGTGCTTCAAATTAAAAAAAAGTATTTACCTACACCTTATTCTTGTTTAAAATCATTTACATAATATATATGCATTTATATGGAGCATGATAAAAAGCTGAGCTTGAAATTGTGGCGTTAAAGGCGACGCGAGCCGAGGAAACATTTGGGTGCACCTAAATTTTGTGCTGGTGCACCTAAATAAAAAAGTTAGGCGCACCAGTGCAACCAAGGCAAAAAGTTAGTCTGGAGCCCTGTATACATCCTAGGAAAAATGACCAACATTACGAGTGGATCGTTGCAGTAAACCTAAATTGAGATCATTTCATTGTAGTTTATATATGGATGGATGGATGATGCAGGCTTTTTTTTTAACATCAACACTGTAGGTTGACATATACAGAAAGAGAACGTGTTTGTAAACCTTTTGTTTTAACTAATTCATTGTAAATGGTCCAGTGGTGTGCCTATATCAGACTACAGTTTGAACAGACTGTTATCTAAAAATGAATAATAACTTTAATAAAATAATCATTCCTTTAATAAATTAATAATACTATGTATGTATGTGTTTGAGTAAAATCTACATTTTTGTTTTATTCTATTAACTACTGACAACATTTCTTCCCAATTTTAAGAAAGAACAGCATTTATTTGCAGAAAATGGCAACTGGTTTAAATCACAAAAAAAGATCCCATGTTTTTAAACAACACAATACTAATGTCTTTACTTAAGAAATTAATATTTGATTTATTTACAATCACAGCTTTCATGTGTCTTGCTCTACCAGTCTTGCACATTGCTGTTTGGTCACTTTATGCTACTCCGGGCACAAATATTCAAGCAGTTTGATGGCTTGTGACCTTCCATTTTTCTCTTCATCATATTCCAGAGGTTTTCGGTGGGGTTCAGGTGTGGAGATTGGGCTGGCCATGACATGGTCTTGGTCTGGTGGTTCTCCATCCACACTTTTATTGGCCTGGCTGTGTGGCAAGGAGCATTGTCCCGTGGGAAAGAGTTGGGGAATATTGTCCGAGCAGAAGGGAGGAATTTTGTTCTACCAGGATAACCTTGTACGTGGCTTGAGTCATGAATCCTTAATAAAGACAATATTTTTACTTGAAATTTGGAAGAAATGTTGTTAAAAAATAATATATAAAAAATATTTTTACTTAAACACACACATAAATATTAACTACAGAGAAACTACTAATTTTGCAGTGGTATCTTAATTTTTCCAGAACTGTATATATATATAGTATTTCCAGCTTTGTTTCACAATCTATCCCACAGAAGCAATACGCCAAGATTTCTGTTTCAACTGAAGTCCCATCTTTTGGAGAGGAGCATCAAATCAAGTCTTGGGTAGGAAAGAGGATTAATGTAGGTTGTTAAAACTGCTTTGGGGATTTACTGTGATGGCAAAGTCAGACAGCAGCAATAATCATACAGTACTGTTCTCTGTGTGACTACAGCAGGCTTAATCTCAATAACACATATGAGGGCAGACAGTGATCAAATCTCTCAAATCACATTTTAGTGATGATGATGCTGATGGTTTAATATTAAACATAATACTTTCAAGATGGCCCGTCAACGACACTTCTTATGTCAGGAAAGGCCATCACATACAGAACGGACTTTAAGAAACCTATCTTTGTTAATTATTTCATCCAATTTCATCCCAAAAAGTTTTAACGTCTGAGTTCTGGAACAAAACATTGTTATAGTAGCTATATGACAATGTTGATGATTTCAATGAATACGTAGGCTATTTCTTACTAAGTCTGATCATTACGACGAAGGTGAATCAATCAAAGTTAACTTTAGCTGGAAGTAACATTATTCAAGACCATAACGCCAAAACAATCTGTTACCTTAAATTATGTTTAGCCTATCTCTGTAAAGCTGCTTTGAAACAATTCATTGTTAAAAGCGCTATATAAATGAAGATGACTTGACTTGACTTGACTTCTATAGGCTATGCATGCAGATACAACAACTGCACAATACTTAGATGTAACAAAAATAAATAGAAGATGAAGATATTTTGAAACAAGCGATAACAAAACACTTTCACAAGTCGATTAAGCAGTGACGTGACAAAAAAGACCCACGGTGCCGAGCACCGAAAGTTTATAAATTAACAAGTAACGTTAACTGCAGGTGACAAAGTTACAACAATGAACGTGACATGATAGACAATCACTTACCGATTCGTATGACCTGTTGGTCACTATGGTAAAACTTTGACATCAAGTAAAAAAGGAAAAATAACAGTCTTTTGCGCTTATCCATGGCTTTGTAATCAAAATGGGTAAAAATAAAAAACTTCATGTCATAAAACTGGATTCAGGGAATCGTAGCGCGCGCTCATCAACCATTCACCTCCCATCGCGCGCAATGGAAACAGCTCCTCGAAAAAGCCAGTTATTGCCTAAAAAACAACACATTATCATCCTTTACCGGAAAATCCACGATGTAATAGAGTCTTCAAGATATTTCAGGTAAGATTTTGTGCTGATATCCTCCGTTCATCGCTTCAAATACTTAGCACACCGCACGCGCATTGCGAGGATAGTAAAGTGCGCGTGCCAATGGCAGACACATGATCCAGACGCAGGATTAAAGCAAAATCTGTTCAGGGTTTTGGCTTTCTTCACGGTGTTATCTTCTTTTTTTAAGTCCGCACAGACTATTTTCCAGGGTCTTAAATTCTTTTCCCCTCCAAATAGCCACATTGAGACAATCCGTTTGAGGTAAAAAGTGAGCTGAATATGCTGTCATGGGGAGTTAAATAGTTGCTCTCATTCACTTCATGTTAAAAAAAATATATGAGAGTCCTCATAATTATAGTGACGATGTTTTGTTCGCACGAAATGTTTTGAACCGATTCTTGATGTAATGGACTCAGTCGAAACGATTCGATAACCGTTTGTAGAACACTCGACTGAAAGGGATTTGTTTAGGAGCGAGCAAAAGCCTACTGTGAAAAATGGAACACATGTTAAGTAAACATATTATTAGGCTACTATTAGGATCTTCTTCTTCTTATTATTGTTAATAATAATAATGATAATAATTACATGTTAGTAATAATATTGTTCGCCTATTACTAACTAAAATGTTGGAACAGTAATCACATTTAACATAATCTAGACCTACATTGTGAAAACGTAGTGATAATCATCAAAAATCAAACGTAATACATCTGGAAACACTTGAATGACTTGACTTTGGTCTTGTTCATTGGAACGAACCGATTCGGTAAATTGAATTGGACCAAAAGCTGACTTTCTTTTTGCTAAATGGTGGAGCAACGCCACCTGTTGGGCAAATCCTAGCCCCTATGGCAAAGGAAGAATCTGTAGACAGATGTTATTTGACTAAATTAAACATAATAATTAAACATGAAATTAAACCATGATGCGAAGTCTTCAGTTGTGGGCTTGTGGCACACATTAAAGTATACTTTCAGTCTTTATTTTCCTTATTTATAAGTGAATTAAAAAAAGACAATGTTTAATGGATAGTTCACCCAAAAAAGAAAATGTTGTCATTACTTACCCACCCTCAAGTTGTTCCAAACCTGTATAAGTTTCTTTCTTCTGTTGAACACAAAAGAAAATATTAAAATAAAAGAATATTGGTTCTCCAGAGAGTTAATGGCACACATTGGCTATAGGAAAACATAATACTATGGAATGCAGTGGGTGCGGTCAACTGTCTGGTTACCAACATTCTTTAAAATATCTTCTTTTGTGTTCAACAGAAGAAAAAAACTCATACTGGTTTTGGAACAACATGAGGGTAAGTAAATGATGACAGAATTTACATTTTTGGGTGAACTATCCCTTTAAAAAAGACTACTGTCACCAACTCATCCCTTTTTACAATTCACTACTCCATGCATTTCCATGAGAGTCTAGGCTGGCTGAGCTAAACAGTGTGTTCAAACTTATGTCGCTGTGGCTGGAGGACTCAGCAATGGTGGTTTCTTCTCCTGCCCTGCCGAGGGGGCCAGAACAACACTGCAACAGCCCAGCCATGCATAGCAAACACGAGGCCAGCCAGCCTACAAACAGAGCCTCCCCATGTGGAACCGAATGGAGCTCAGACCATGATCGGCATGGAAGATGCTGAGTGCCGTCCAGGACACAGAGATGAGAGTAGTAAGTGAAGCGAGCAGTGCAGGTGCAAACAGGCCGCTCCAACCAGGCAACACCTGGCACTGTCGGGACGGGTGCACTGAATGCTCACGAGTGAACTGACCCATGCAGCCGCAGCCAGAACCAAAGAGAGAGTTATAAAGTAACAAGCTGACCACAGGGCTGGATCTAAATAGGCTTTGCATGTTAATGAACTGGCATTATGGCTAAAAGAACATTTAGTCCATAGTCCTTCATATTCTGCACATGATTCAGAGCGTACAGTCAGTTTCCACCTCGGTAGTCCTATGATCACGGCTACACAGAGAAAGCCAAAAGAAGCACAAATCAAAGCTATTATATCCAACACAGAGGATTCTTCCTTTCCTCAGTCTGAGGAATGTTTCATCTGTGTGATTCAACGACTCATCCATGAATTCTTAATATTGATGGTCAGCTGTGGCAGGTAGGAGAGAAGTAAAGTAGAATTTCAATTTCAATTCTGGAGCATTTCAAATAATGCACGGTTGCGTTTCTTGACAGATTTATGATTTATTATTTATTATAATTGACTAGTCAGCAGCAGTGTGTGGAAAGAATAGAAATACATTAGACTAGAGTTTGTTTTTTACAATCATTAGGACACATTTCTCAATACTTTGGTCATTTTTTCCTAAACCCTTCACACAGTTCTCTTAACCAAATCTCAGCTCGGCACAGCAGTTCATTTCACATTCAAAATGCACCAAAACACTTCATTCATGTCTCAAATCAACTCATTCTTCTATAAGACTAGCAAAGATTGTCATCCAAGTGTCACTAATAATTAAACAACGACCTAAAATACACTAACAACAAGAATGGCAGCCATCTATCTGCTGTTTAGAATCGACTGCAGTATATTACATAGTCCATGTTTACATTAGTGTACAAAATTATTCCTAATTGTTTTCTTTTGTATAGATAATAGGTAATGAAATTGAAAGACTAACACCTGTGTAGGCGTTCAGCTACATCTAATAGTTTTGATAGTATTTCATTTTTTTAGATTGAGAATATATTTCAATGTTGCATTAGTGTAGAAATGTAGCAAATTGCTGTCTTATTCAATGTTGTATTATGAAAAGTATGTAAACTTGCAAATTGGCCTGTATAGGTAGAGTGTTTGTCTATAAGTGAGAAATGTATTCATGTAATTTGAAAGATGCATTCTGTGCCAAAGCAGTGATAAATGATACACAGATTAGCCCACATAGACTGATGTTGTGATATTGAGAAATGGGTCCTAGTGATAGTAAAAAAAAAAAAAAAAAAAAAGGTTTAAATGTTACAAAATCACATTCTAAAAGCCAGTTCAGTCACTATACAAATAACTTTGCAACCCATAATAAACCAGTTCAATGATCAGGAAGTCCAACTAGCTGGTAAAAACCTTACAATTCAAGCACATTTAGTATTTTAGCTAACTAAACATAATTTAAAACTCATCACAGTGGATAACATTTCTCCAAGACACTGCATGGAATCAGAGCTGGACTGAGAAGGGCCATAGGAGTGTTAGTTTATCAGTGTACATTTTCTAAATTTACGTCATTATGTGAAACAACTGTCCCTTAGTTTGTTGTTGTGATAACCTTCTTCTTCCCTCAGGCTCTTATGGTCTGACATCTACCTGAAATAGAAATGTGATGTGCTATTTAGCAAATGGCACATATGATTTATTTTTCCTTTGATGGATCTCACGGTAGATAACTGGTTATAGGAGTGTTTTATTTACAGTAAACACTTGTAAATGATGTTTCATTTCCTAAATAAAAAATGTTTTTCTCTACAGCAGAGCAGAAAATGATTTCCTAATGTTATGGTGCATTTGATGTTTTAACTGCTGCCCAGATGAATATGATAAAATCTGTAGTAAAGGACAGGTCTATAAAGTTGAGAAAACACCTTTTTACATTTAAGAGCGATTGAGCCAAAGACCAAACTAATATGGGTCCCACTTTATATAAGTTGTTTTTTACTATATGCATCAAATAATAATAAAACAAAATAATAAAAATTGTTGAATGAATGAATGAGGCATTTATATAGCGCTTTCATATGCACTACACTGTAAAAAATTGCTGTAGTTTTTACAGTAAATATTTACAATAGACTACTGTATTTTAACATTTACAGTATTTTTTCCATTTTGCTGTATTTTGCCATGTGGGCGCGTGCGTATTGGTGTGAATTTTAGAGGTCCAATAAGATACTGTGATAGACCACTGTTATTGCATGTTCCTATGACTTCTGGAAACATGATTATGCAGTAAATGCTACTGGATATCATGCATACCATTGTAATTTTTAAAATAATTTTTTTTAAAGAAGAAAAAAAAGGTTGCAAAATGTTATGAGCTTCACAAATCAATAACACTAAAGTAATAGTCAACTGTAATAAATACAGCGTTTTTAGCGAATTGTTTACACCTTTTAGACTCTGACATTTGATTATATAACGTACAGCAAGTAGTTTAAAACTGTTGGCTTTTAAAATCGGCGTAGCGCAGTGCGTGTGATGTCATTTCGTCAATCGTCATCTTCAGTGGACATCTTGGCAGTTGGGACTTTCCACGCGCTGCATCATCGACACTCAATTTTCGCGCTCACCTCATGCGCGCAACGATTACCAGAGGAGGACCTCGAATGAGAGTGAGACGAGGTGCGTAGCCAGTAATTCATGCTTTAGTGTAAACGTGAAATCCTGTTACATCCACAATATTTTAACTATTATTTTTATTTTGTGACGTTGCAAAATGGATAATCTAGATTATTTGTCCAATTTCATGATTGTGCTTGGTGAGTCCAGTAACGATTAGCTGGCTATATTTTCTTCAACATGAAAGTGTGGACGGGCTGTCATTTTACTTTAAAATTTTTGATAAGTGTTCGGTATAAAATTATTTTACGTTGTTGTTGGTAGTAGACATGTAACATTAAGCTTGTAAACATTGCAGTTAAATTGTGTAGGTTTTATGCAACTAGTGTTTTTGACTGCCAAGCCTTTAGCTAATAGCACGTGTTTGTTCGATTTAAGATGCTGTAATGAAGTGGTTTTTATTTATTTATTTAATTTGGTTAATATTACTTGTAAGGGTGCTTGGTATTCATATTTGTAATTTAGTTGCTAAATAGAAAGTACATTGAAATTTGCTGTGCACATGCTTTATTGCTGTGCATTTATTAGCTTGTGAAGTTTAGATTTTTGCAGTTGAACATGTTTATCTGTCACTTATGTAATAATGAGAGCAGTACAATTCTGAGTTTTGTGCAGCATGTGAAATTGCATAGAAATGTGCCTAAATCAGGATTTAGATGTGGTGTACCTGATTGCCCACATATTTTCACTAAGTTTTCTTCATTGAAGTCGCACATATACAGAAATCACAGTGAACATCACCGGTCTGCTAAAGAGCATCAGGCACAGATGTGTGATGATAAAACATTTAAATGCCATGTAGAGTTTTGTGATGTTCAATGTGGGACACTAACACAGCTTTTGTCTCATTTAAAGAGCCATATTCAGTCAGGTCTGGAGATCCAGTGCCCATTTGGTTGCAGCAGGACA